CAGGGTTCGATGAGAGACTTGAGAAGTGCTGGGCAGAGGTGAAGAGGTGGGTTATTGCATGGGCTCGCCAGGTCATGCCTGGGATTTCAGGACTGCTCACCTGTGACCGACCTGAGCCCCGAGAGGAAGGCCGCTCAGGCAGGTTCCCCAGGTTCTCTCTTCCTCCGGCTCTTCTCTCTCGGCCCAGGAGGCATGCGTGTGACCCTTCATTTTTTTTTAAGACAACCATCCTGTCCAAGGGGAAGTCCAGTGCCATATTTCATTCAGAGACTGCCTCTGAGAAGTTTTCCTACCAAGTAATTCCTGGAAAATATTTATCTTTGGGCTTGTTTGTCCTCTGGGACAGCGATTTTCCACTGTTGTGCACCAAGAATTTTTAAAACGTACAATACCTGACTGTTTGGTCAGGGGCACTGACCTCTTTTACTTAGATTGTCCAATTAAAAAACGACAACAGCCAACACAACATTAGCCATCCATTGTGAATGAATCAAATTACTGTATGCCTTTTTTTTTTTTTTTTTCAAAACAGGCAAAATATATATTATTTGGTACGCTGCAGAATTGTAGTAATTGGTTTATGTGGGCTATGAGATTATTTTTTTTAAAAAAAAAAAGGTTGAAAATCGCTGCCCTAGGACCTCTTTTCTCAACCATTCCAGGGACAGGACTGGTACCCACACGTGCTTCCTGGTCAGTGCTACAGAACAGAAAGAGGTCATCCACCCAGTGCTGGCACAGCCAGACCCGGGACCCTGAGAACTGCAGTGGAGAAATATTGCCTATTTTATTATAAACTAGGGGCCCGTTGCAGGAAGATTCCTGCAAGTGGCTGCCGCGGACCCACCTCGCCCGTGCTTTCCTTCTGGCAGCCACCTTCCTTTTCGCTCCCCCCCGCCCCCACCTCTTCAATGCTGTCTTCAGTCTTCACTCCTCCCTTCCTCCACATATGAAAATTAACTGCCATCTTTGTTGTATTAATTTGCATACTCTGACTGGCTGTGGGTGTATAAAGGTACGGTCAGTTAGCATTTTTCTCTTTTATTAGTGAAGATGGCACCCCCCACACAGGAGAAAGGGAAGCTACTGCTCAAAAGCCCGAACTCCCTGGAGGCATGTAGGATTCAGATTATGTAGGGCAAAATCAGGAGACTTCAGGGGTTAGAGGTTATGGTTGTTCTGGGAGTTGATTTTTCAGGGGCGAGTTAAGGGTGATGAATAATTTCTTTAGGTCTGGAGGACAGCTCTGGGGTCTGTTCCAGGGTCCCTCTGTCTGGTTTTATGGGAAAGTAGCCAGGAGCTCATTCCACCTAAGGCCCAGGAAATAAAACACAGGTTGGTCAAGAAGTTATTTTTAGCCTGCCAAAGGAGAAAGAAAGAGAAAGAGGGGACGGGGGACAGGGAGGTTCTAGAGGGAGAGATTATTTCTAGAGCTAGGATTTAAAGCCAAATTTAATCAAAGTCCTAGGACCCTTGGTTTTACCAATAGCAAAAAAAAAAGAGAAAAAAATCATATTTTCTTCATGTTTTTGAAGTCATAACTCTAGCTTGAAAGCACTGGGCAGAGTCATCTTACTGCTCGCATTTTTTATCCCGATTTGGTTAAGGAGGATCCTGCCCTTCTCCACTCTTTTGTTGAAGTGCTGCCCACAAAGAAAAGAGAGAAGCCAGCAGAGAGGAGGGCAGCCTGGAAAACATCACATGGGTAAACCGCATGTGACCTAAGCCCTCCTTTCTCAGACCCTCCCCTGGCTCAGACCAGTGTGCCTCCTCTTCACCCCACGTGTGAAATGAAATATCTCTGCCGACATCAGGGGCAGAAGTGGTCAGGTCATCATTCTGCAGTGGTTGGCAGCACTGTTCTGCTTTATTTGTTATATCAACAGATGAACAGGTAGGCCTTTTAACCACTGTTAGTTAACTGTTAGTGCAGTGTTAGGTCAGGTCACTACGAATGGGTAAATGAGTGCTAGATTGGTGGAATGTTGTCTCCTTGGGACCAGAGAGGGCAGTGGGTGTGAACAGACGTAGGCTTTTATAGACCCCAAACTGTAATTAGAAATTTGCTTGATGTTTTTTTTCCAGTAAGAAAGAAGTATTAACAGCTAGTGATTCTGTTGACTCCCTTGGCACTAAAAACATTTATCTAAGATCCTTACGATTAGTAAGTCACCCAGATGATTATAAGGATTGATAAGCTGGAAAGTCAGTAACCATATGTAAGCTCTGATCTGGAAAATGATCTTACCTGATAAAGGTTAAGCTTTCTCGTCAATTTTTTTCCCCATTTTTTATGTTTTTATTTAAGCTGCTGAACAGGAAGGGTTGTGTTTCAAGGGTTTTTGTATTTCATCTTGGTGCCATCTGATTTGGTAGAAAAGACTAAAGATAAGATTTTTAGTAGATCTAAGAGAAGGCATGGAGCCCAGGACATGAATAATCTATCTCTGAATAATCAATCAGTCATTTAAAGAAGATTCTCTGTATTTACTCTGAGGAATTTACTTTATATAAAGCAAAAGTTTAGGAGAGGATTTAAAAAAAAATTTTTTTAGTTTCCTTTCATCTCTGTCTGGTTCAGGGAGTTAGGCCTGCAGTAGAACTTATCACTGAAAAATCCAGCTTTTTTTTTTCTTCTTAACTTTTGTTCATAAATCAGCCTTCTTTATGTAGTCTAGTTCCCTTGTTTATTACATATTTGTTCCAGCCGAGCATTTAGTTTCTCTCTTCATCCCAGTTGCTTAGAATGTCTTCTGCCAAGAGATGGAAAACCTGGATTTCACAGCCACAGAAAATGGGCACCTTTTCCTGGCATTGCATTCTAATAACATCGTATCAGAGTTTGACCTGGTTATTTCTCACAGACGGCTTCTGCCAAGTCCATTGGGATTTTCCTCCAAACATATGGCCATGGTGCTCTATCACATAAGAGAGGCCAGTGTGCAGACCAGATTACCTGGGAGCTAGCTGCCAACCGATGCAGCCAATGACCTGGCAGGAAAGAGTGCCTAGAATCCTGTGTGAATGTGGTTCGCATTCCAGGTCTGATTCTGCAGAAATGTAACTTCATGGAGCTCCTGCCGGACACCACCAACAGCAGCATAGTGTGGGCCATAGAGAGCGAGCTGCCTTTGTTCACTTTACCGTGGTGATCAGGTCTTTGTGACTCTGTTCCGCCCTGCCTCACCTACTGTTTGCCTTTCTGAGGACCCTCCTCCCCTACATAACATGTTTCCTCTAGCAGCCGCCCTGGTTGTCACCAATGGTAACATCTTCATTGAAAGGAAGAAAAATCAAATGCTTCAAGGACTCTATAGCTGAAATGAAAAATACAGGGCTTAGCACTTTTGCAGAGCTTTAAATGCTCTAAAAGGACACTTGTTGGTTTTAAATAGCTGAAGTTGCAAATGAAGGAATTGGATAGTGGCCCGAGGCACTGATGGGTCTCATCAGGGCCTTGGCTAGGGAAGATCTCAAGGCACAAACACTATGTTTGAGGTTAAAGTCCCTGATTGAATGAGACTGAAATGAAGGTGCGTGGAGCTGGGTTATAGCAGCAGCAGGCATTGTGTGTGTGTGTGTGTGTGTGTGTGTGTGTGTGTGTGTGTGTATGACCTGCTAAATGGGAGGAGCTTCAAATACTAATAAACCTTCACAGGCTCCGTGGTGGAAAAGGAAAGGAATCACCAGTACCAGGTTGGATATGTTCAGCAAAAAATACATCTAAAAAATGTGAAGAAAAGCAGGGGAAATGGTGATAAAATTAGATGATTTTTGTACTAATTGATGGTGAATGCAGAGGATAGTGAAATTTAATGATTAAGTAGTTCTACCAAATGACTGCAAAATGCAGACTCCCCTGGAGTTTTTAATTAAAACAAAACAAAACAAAACAAAACAAAAAAACCCTGAAAAATTACAAAATACTACTTATTTAAAAAGCAGTTTGATTCTTCTTTAAAAAAAAATATTTCATTGATTTTTACATAGAGGAAGGGAGAAGGGATAGAGCGCTAGAAACATTGATGAGAGAGAAACATCAATCAGCTGCCTCCTGCACACCCCCTACTGGGGATGTGCCTGCAACTTAGGTACATGCCCTTGACTGGAATTGAACCTGAACTCTTGAATCTGGCCGATGCTCTATCCTCTGAGCCAAATCGGTTAAGGCAGTCTGATTCTTAAATAACAACAAAACTAATGTAAGCATCCTAACAAGTTGTGTGAGACACAAATTCAAGGCTTTTAAAACAATTCTGTTCAAGTCCATATGTAGTCGAGATTGTTTTCAATTGTATTAGGTCTGTGTTTTGCCGTTATTCATTTGTTTTTAACCCATAGACTTTTAAGGTCTAAATGAAAAAGCTCATTTATTTTGTTGCTGTTGTTGATTTGGTCTTGTTGTTTATTTTCTTTTTCCTTAGGAGTGAGAGGGTATCTTTTGTGGACTTGGGAACAAATAACCAAAGACCACACAGTAGCTTTTGTGTATATTAGAGCATCTTCTGATATTTAAGATTATGAAATGACACCTTCTATAAAGGGGGAGGTCAGGAGAGGTCAGGAAAAATGATGGAAGAGTTGGAAAATAAAAAGAGATTTCTATCAAGAGTGCTTTGTCTTAGATTTTTCTTCTTGTTAAAATAACTTCTGTCCTTTGGATAGATAAGCATCTCTGGCTACTATGTTTATTTCCAAACTTGCTACTCATTTTTGATATTTGAAGCAGAAATAATTCTGGGATGAGTGTGTCACATACACAATACTGATATTCTCCCATGCACTTACAGAATAATGCTAAACTGCTCAATTCAAGGACTTAATTTCACCAAGAAAATATTATGCTTTCGGAGATCATGGTGACCATGATCTTTGTCAAGTAACTAATAATGGATCTATTTCTCTTTCTCTATAAACATGTTGATGTGCCCATTAAAGCTAGAAAATAAACATTTTTTTTCCAAAAATTTATATTAAAGATTGTTTTCCATTCTACACAGGAAGAATTTAACGGGAAACCCAACTCACTCTATTTTAATGACGGCCAGCGAAGAATCGACTTTGTTCTAGTGTATGAAGATGAGAGTAGAAAAGAGAACAATAAAAAGGGTTCAAATGAAAAACAAAGGGTAAGTTTTTATGCTCTTTTCCTTTTCTTTTACGCCTTACAATATTGTGAACTGACCAAGTGCTATTTTTATGTAAGCAATAAAGTGAAACTGGTGTTTGAAATATCATACACCATAGTTACCTTCGTATTTTCTCTGCCCATCATTCCTTCGGGGCATGTTAACAAATTGCTTATTTTTAATTTGAAATAGAAACTTCCGCAGGCTCTTAATCTCAGTTGGTTTCCCAGCTGAAGGCAAACTTCATTCCAAGGAATTGTATTTTTCTATTTAGAAGAGATGTGTATTAAAAGCACACTCCGCTGTTTGCGCTTAGGTGGAGAAAGAAGCTGAAGTGTAATAATGACACCAAGTATAATAGTGATTAACATTCAGTGTGTGCTCTCTCATGAGTATATGCCTTTTTGCATATATTTTCTTACATAATTCTAATAACAACCTGTGAAGGTCATTCTGTGAACATAATCCTAGATGAAAGAGTTGACCCTTAGAGAGGTTAAAGGATTGCCCAAAGTCACGGGCTCTGGTATAAGAAATAGTGGAGCCAATGTTCAAACTCTTGTCTTGAATCTGGTACTCACCCATTTTCTGTCACCTCCAGTCCTCCCCTTTCACCTGCTGCCGGTCAAGCTGCTCCTTCCTCCCCTCCCTTTACCTCAGGGTCTGTCCAGTAACAGCCACCTCTGTGTTGAGATATTACTAGTAGACCAGTGAGCAGGCTGCAGTTATGGCACCTGTCTGGATCTTCTTCACCTGCACCCACACTGTGTCAGACCAAAGCAAGACATAAAAGAGAGCATGCATGTTACTGTCTCTTCCACCCACTTTTGAAATCGCTCCCTCATGCTTCACTTGTTTCTGTTTTTCCTCGCATCTGTGCTATCACACAGGCAACTTTAATTGTCTTTGTCCAGACTTTCTCTGTGAAATATATCGTTCTTCAATCTACTTATGTCCGCCCTTCCTTCAAACCGAGTGATGAAAACTGCTTAAAATGAAGGAATCAGTCCTGTTTTGTTTTAGATTTTTGTTTGTTTGTTTTGGAGGTTTCTACTTGCCTGGTGTCACAGGATCAGTTCCGGGCTTTGGAAGCTGACATTCGCCTTCTAATTCTGCTACAAACCGTGCTGCAGTAATGCTAGTTGATGTAACACACTAGCCCCGTATGACAGTGGCTTAACAAAATAGAAGTTTACTTATTTCTCATTTTATTTTATTTTTAATGAATTTTATTGATCGCAGAGAGGAAAGGAGAGGGAGAAAGAGATAAAAACATCAATGATGAGAAAATTATTGGTTGGCTGCCTCCTGCACTCCCCGCACTGGAGACCGAGCTCACAATCCGGGCAAGTACCTGGAATCAAACTATGATCTCCTGGTTCATAGGTCAGTGCTCAACCACTGAGCCTCACCCACCAGGCTAGTGCTCATTTTAAATTCAGTGTGGCATCCTATTTGGCACAGTGTTTTGGGGGTACAGGCAGGGCATTCTTCCCTGCAGTCGTTCAGGAACCCGGGCAGACACAGAGGCTCTGCCATGTTCAGGCAGCTTCTCACATCATCGTGGGCATCGGCATCCTATGAATGGTAGATGGGATATGAGTGCGGATGGGGACAGGACCCTCGCTTCTTTACCTCTTTGGCCTGGAAGTGACTGCGTCAGTTGTGTTCACAGTCTGCTGATCAGGATTCAGGATGGTGGAAGGTGTAGCTCCTGGCTGGACAGCTGTTTCTCAGTAGGAATGTCACACTCTGGGAAGGGAGCAGGCGTTGCGGTGGATAGCGAGCTTGTCTTTGCCAAGGCTACTAACTGGCAGCGTGACATCAGTGATTTTTCTTATCAAAAATCCTGTTACTATTTTTGAGATGCCTGTTATTTTTTACATTTTGATAACTCTGATATCAGGGCACATCTTACAAATGGTGTATCATAATTTCATTGGCTGAATAGTCTCTTATTGGTACACCAGAGGCGCAGTGCACAAATTCATGCACTGGTGGAGTCCGGCCAGCCCTGCCCCAATTGGGGCGGATCAGAGCTGGGCCTGTTGGGAGGAGGAGATGGCTGGAGGTTGGCTGGCTGTCCCCCCCTGGTGGGGGCCTGATCAGGGCTGGGCCAGCTGAGGGGAGGGGGCCCCTGATTGGGGTTTGGGGGCTGACTGGGAATAGAGCAGGCCATGGGGAGGGGCTGTGGGTGGTGGGCCAGCTGGCCCCAACCCCAAATGGGGTATAGTGTGCCAATCAGGGAGCAAGCAGCCTGGGGGAGGGGCCATGGGTGGTTGGCTGGCCAGCCCTGCCCCTGATGGGATGGGAGGGCCGATTTGGGGCGGGGCCCAGTGGGGAGAGGGGCTGCAGGAGGTTGGTGGGCCAGCCCCACCCCCTATTGATCAGGGGTAGGGCGGCCAGGGGGAGGGGCTGTAGGAGGTTGGCTACCCAGCCCCACCCCCTATTCGGTGGGGGGCTGCGATCAGGGGCAGGCTGGCTTGGGGGAGGGCCTCCAGGTTGGCCAGCCGGCCCTGCCCCTGAGCAGGTGGTTTGCTGGCTACCGTAGGCATCATAGCAACCAGTCGTTATGGTCATTATGGCCATTATGGCTGCTGGCTTTTTATATATATAGATAGAATATTGGCTCACCATACAACTGACATCTGAGATTCAGGAAAATGGGAATCTGAAATTATTTTATTTTAACCATAGTCCAGAGGATTATGGTTAAAACAAAATAAAATAGTATATAGAGATATCATATAAATTTTCAGCACATATTAGGTCATAGATTTTAATTCCTGTCCCTTCCCATTTATTTGGGGTTTTCTTTTTGTATGTTTTTTCAATTACAGTTGACATTCAATATTCTTTTGTATTATTTCAGGTGTACAGCATAATGGTTAGACAGTCATATACTAGAAAAAGTGTTCCCCCAATATGTCTGGTACCCACCTGGCACCATACATAGTTGTCACAATATTACTGACTATATTTCTTATGCTGTACTTTACATCCCTGTGACTGTTTTGTAACTACCAATCTGTACTTCTCAATTCCTTCTCTTTTTTTTTTTTCCTATTTGGGGTTTTCTTAAAACAGCGCATTACTATGAAAGGCATGACTCTCCTTCTGTCACTGCATAATTTTATAACTCCAGTTAAAGAGCTTAGAGTACTTTATCATGTTCCTGTGGACACAAAGGTATCTTCTGTGCGGTCGTAGTCACTGTCATCAAATATTCATTAGGCATCCATATGCCAGTGGGGCCTGGGTTGAGCACCACAGAAAGGAAGTTAAACAAATCTAATCCATTAAAGCAGGAAGGAAGCAGTTCTGGTTTTAGACAAGAGCATCACCACCGTGGAGAAGGAGCCCAGAGCTGCTTACATTATTAACAAGTTCTGCATTTGCTTTACACGGAAAGGTAGGTCCCAGGGAAGCTCTCATAAATCAGGAGAAAAGAAATTATCTTTAATTTTGGCAATCCCCGAGCTCATGGATTGATATACTGTGATGCTGGTTTTTATAAGCCGTGCTTCGAAGTGTTTTGAGATGCTATTTGTCCACGTGACTTAATGTTAGACTCCACCAGAATGCAAAGCTCAGCTTTGAAGTCACACATTTTTATTAATTTGAAAAACATCTGCAAGTTCTGACATACTCCCTGCCTGGCCTTATTCAAGATTTAAGACAATACCAAGGAAAAGCTTCTTCACAGCCCTGTTTTCTTTGAGAGAGAAGTCTAAATCATATTGATTTCCTGAAGCAATGCCAGGTCGACTTTGCCAGGGGCTCCTCTAAAGAGTACTTACTGTTACCTACTTTTTTAGAGAAGATGGAGAAAGTTAGACATAATAAGGCCACAAATATAAAAAAGGCAGAGGAGTAAACGGCTGCACTTCCCATGAGGAAAAGAGAAATTATTTTTCTATCCAAACCACCAAACAGCCTGCGACTTTGTCCCCTTATATTAGTGAAAACACTCTAGATACCTCACACCTTCCTTTGAAAAGCATAAACCGTTTACATTGAGATTTTGCAAGGGGATGGTTATAAGTAGTTTTAGTAATAATTGCTCATTTAGCCAGGACTGTTCTCAGCCCAGAGTCCATTTGAATTTTCTTTTTTACAGTAAGTACCAGGAACTCAAACTCAAAATGGCTTACATAGTAATTTTCTCATGTCCGAAGCAGCCTGGAGTTAGAACCATTTCTGATTTATAATAGATACTTTATGGGCTTAACAAGGTCACCGGGAATCAACGTTCATTCCATGCTTCTGTCCTGCCATCCTCAAAGTGTTGGCTGCTCTTAAGCTGGCTGCACTTTGTTCCCACATGGCTGCTGCAGTTCCAGGCATCCAGAGGTAAAAATGGGGACTGCCTTTCTTGCGGCCTATTTTTAAGAAAGACCCCCTTATAGGACCCTAAGCAGACTTCCTTTTACAGTTCATTGTCTATCACAAATCTATTCCTAAACCAACTACCGGCAAGATGAGTGGAATCACCTTGATTAGCATAGACTCAGTAAGACAAGTCTTTCATCTCTTGAATCACCTAATATCTGAAAAAACACTAACTTTTCTTACTAATGAAGGAGGGGAGAATGGCATGTTCAGTAGGCAGCAGCAATGTCTGGCACAGTAAATGATTAAATATGTCTAAGCATGTTTGATCTATACTGTGAAGAGCAAAAATGTTTTAAATTAAACAAATTTCCATATACTTCTCCTACTCTTCCTGACTTTCGTTGGTAATGCTTCCTTCTTCCATTTAATTTTTCTAGAACTGCTAACAATTGGAGGAATTAATCTATATCTAATTTCATTTTGTCTGGCACTTGGCCTCCCTTTAAACAGTAGTGTTTATGACCAAGTACTAGTATAATTCAAATGATGTAAAGAGGGTGGAGGGATCTAGGTAGCACAAAAACAGTGCAAGCAATCCTGAATATATGTTCTATATGTTATCTTTTTTATTAGCAGAATGAATTCCTTAAATTTGAAATTTTATT